TTCCCATGCACCTCAACCCAGAAGCTCACCCAGCTACGAGCTTTGTCTGGTAGCTGCCTAAGACCGAAACGGTTTAAGACGACACAAAAGATGTAGGTAGTGGCAAACCCAGTTTAGCTCGAACGCCACTCCAGTTCCTTATTCCCGTCTCAGTGGGGCTCTCGAAACGGTACCTTAGCCCAGTGAAAAAAAAGAGAGAAACAAACACAAGCAAAAGATGAAGGATGAAAAATTTTCGTTCTTCTCGAAACACAAAATGGCCACCACTTCTTGCTGATCCCATGGATGCAGGGGGTTGTTGCCCCCTGGGCTTGGGGGGGAGGATAACGTGAGCAACTACGTGGAAAGGTCCGAAATGTGTCCCTCCTCGGAAAAACATATATATACATACAGGGTAGGACTTATGAGTACTTCCTTCCACGTACAGTATACATGTTCAGTACTTGTGCTTGTGCACAATTGACTACGGTCAAGGGACAAGTTCAACGGCCGAGAAAAGTAGCGGTCCCCCCCCCCCCCCCCCCCCCCTTCGGACTCACACTAAATTATCGCAATCTGCCTCGGCGGAAGTGGAGGTTGGGAACACATGCCCAATTCGCCATTTAAGCGAAAAAAAAAAAACGGGTTTAATTGTGTATTTCCCGTGTTGGTTCGCTGGGTGCGACGGAGCTACTGGTGCTACTGCTACATAAATCATTGCAAGAGTGCATAGACACCTAGGAGTACACATAAAAGACAGGTCTTGTCATTCATTTGATCCCTGAATGGCCTTCCTGGTTCTGTTGTTCGGTCTTGCCTTAGTCCGAGTACGGGAGCTCGAACTCGTACTGTGGACAGTTGACACACGCGGGTAATCAATTCTTCCATCATCAAGAAATGGAACATGAGGAGATGATAGTATGAGGGGTAGGGGGCTTGCTTAGCTTGGACATAGTCGGTCGGAGTAAGACCTTGATCGATGTGGTAGGGCGTCTAGTCACGATTCGGGAGCTCAGAAGCATACGACACTTAATCTTATACATCTACCAGTATGTAGCAGTATTTGTCGTCGTTGTTGTTGTTGATGTTAGCTATGCTCTAAGCAGCACAGCCTACACGTATGAATTTGCAAGCAGATCCATCCCTCTCGGTTCACACCGACATCACCATCTACACTTGTGTTGTATTGCGAAAGGAAGAGCTATTCTTGGAAAAGCAATGCAATTGTCAGCCCGCACAAAAAGCATTGGGGTGAGGGGCGCACTGATCGCCGCTAAAACGAGAGCACTACCGAGCTTCCCAAAGGGTAAGGTTAAGGATTACGTGGGATTGGCAAGGCCGCTGGTTCTGGTTTGCGTCGCATGGGCGGTCGGATGAGGTTCTGCTGGATCTCCCCCCGATCCTTGCATGCTTGCAGAGAACGCAGCGAATGCGATTTCTGGAGTTGTGTGCAGGATGATCCTCCCTCGCAGGAAATTTATGCATCACTACCAGTCAGCGAAGGACGAGCAAGTACCGAGTACTGTACCTCCAGCGAGCAACCTGCATGGTGGCGTCGAAATATCCCACGGTGCTGACCTTCTCGAAATGGAAGAAAGACACAGAGACTCACAACTGCAGGCACTGCAGGGCAAGTCGCAGCTGGTCAGTTGCCTCTCCGGGCAAAATGCAGGTGAAGAAAAGCAGCATGATTGGCAGGGTAATTTGGTGGGGAAAACCTGGCTGGTATCCAATGGAAAGGCAGGATTTGAGGGAACTCTCAATCAAAAGACTTTTTTCCCGTCCACTGACTCTCGGGCGAATGCGATAGTTAAAGTCTGGGCAGTCATTGATTAAATCGGGTTGATTGATTTGGAGTTCCCCCACTTCGGCTGGGCTGCGCGGCCTGTTGGCTAAGTTGCCGTACCGGCACTCTTGCTTAGCCGTACTGTAGTAGTAAGCACACACTGTGTGAGCGGCCACGAGCCAAAAAAGAACTGGAACGGAAAGGATGCCATCCATGGGCTTGGCGGCCTTAAGGCTCGCTACACACCGTGTGGTTGAGTCTTGGCCATGGGGAGCTGTGTGTCAATCCGGGGTATGCTCGTGTACGTATTGGATCATGTTGGAGTGAGCTACCAGTGAGCTCCCTCCCAACCTCCTTGCATGCCTGTCTGTCTCAAATCTTACCACATGAGAGTTGTGTCTTAGTACGTACTGTACGGACAGCTTCACTGTAGAGGATCATTCCCAATTTCGGCTGTCGGCAATGCACTCAACTGTTACACAACAGAGGTCGGGACTTCTACCCAGTATATCGCAAGTCTATGAGCAATCCATGATGAGCCCATGCAACCTACGCTTCGGGAGATTTCAGACAGAGAATGCAGCCTCAGACTGCCCTTTTTTGCATGATTCTGGTACGATTGCCCGTTTCCCCAGTCCCGAAGTCCCGATGACGTCGATATCCGAGAACACGCTTGGTGTGCGGGACAACTGCCGCACTGCAGGGCTGCATCCCGTGAAGTGTCAACTATTAACGGCTCTTTTCAACGACGCGCATCCGAATGATCCCTGCCTTCAGCACGTCTGAAGGGGAATTGTCAACTGGGTGTAAATCATTCCGTGTTGGTTATAAGGGATCATAAGGGCTCAAATATACACATAGCACAATCAGCCAGTCTTTCGGATGCGGAAATCCCCCGGAAACGTCGGCTTAGTCCCCGCTCATGGCGTTCAGGGCACACTTGTGCGGTCATCATGTCCGCATCCTCCTATACTCTTCTATATCGATATGTTAATCTGCGGCCAACGGTCTGGACTACCATAACGGTTCCTGCTAATCACCCCTCTCAGCCCCTTAGCCTCATATCTGAGCATCGGCTAGGCAGTGTAGGTGCCGTCTAACCGTGTCCGAAGGCTCCACGGGGATCATCCGATGGGGCTCGAGGCCCCAGAACTCTGGAACCGACCGTCGCTGGGTCTGATCCGACCGAACCTCCACGCTTCACCCACGATGACATCGTTGGAGGAGGTGGTGGGCTAGTAGCCAACCTGGCCAGATAGATAAAAAGGCCCGTTCGTAGTCCCAACCCAAGACACCAAGTCAATCGCATCCAAACACTCTTCAGTCCCCATGTCAACGCTACGAAACTGAATAGCCCCATTCACCCAACAACAGCAACAGCACCAACAAACCACTGTTTCACCACCACTCCCAACCCACAGACCCAACGACCCCAATGTCGACCCCCAAGAAAAACTTCCACGTCGCCATTGTCGGCGGCGGCATTGCCGGCGTGACCCTGGCCATCGCGCTGCACCACCGCAACATCTCCGTGACCATCTACGAGCAAGCGCACGCCTTCTCCGAAGTCGGCGCGGGGGTCTCGTTCAGCCCGAACGCGGTGCAGGCGATGAAGTTCTGCCACGACGGCATCTACAGCGCCTTCGAGAAGGTGTGCACGCGCAACCTGTGGCCGTCCAAGCAGAAGGTCTGGTTCGACTACCTGGACGGCTACAACTACAGCAAGGGCGCCGACGAGACGGGCGCCGACCAGCGCCGCCAGGACATCGAGTTCACCATCTCCAACAGCCTGGGCCAGAACGGCGTGCATCGCGCGCACTTTTTGGATGAGTTGATCAAGCTCGTGCCGCAGGAGATCTGCCGCTTCAAGCGCCGGCTGGAGGACATCCACGAGCGCCTCCGCGACGGCAAGCTCATCCTCAAGTTCGCGGACGGGTCCGAGGAAGAGGCCGACGTGGTCATCGGCTGCGATGGCATCAAGTCCCAGGTGCGCCAGATCATCGTCGGCGCCGACCATCCGTCGGCGAAGCCCTCGTACACGCACAAGTACGCCTATCGCGGGTTGGTGCCGATGGAGAAGGCGGTCGAGGCCATTGGGGAGGAGCTGGCTTCGAATTCGTGTATGCATGTGAGTTGTCTCCCTTGCCCTGTGTCTTCCCAGCAGTCTCGAGGGGCTTTCTGTTCTTGAAGTCTCGCGAACGCTGACATAAAATGATAGATGGGCCCCGGCGGCCACATGCTCACCTTCCCCGTCAACGGCGGCAAGACGCTCAACATCGTCGCCTTCCACACCAACCCCGCCGACTGGGCCGAGTACCCTCAACTCACCCGGCAGGGCACCCGCGAAGAGGCCCTGAAGGACTTCGAAGGCTTCGGCCCGAACGTGATCAACCTGCTCAAGCTGACTGAATCCGATCTCAGCGTGGTGCGTACCCATACCCACACCCTTTACCCCTAATTCCCATCAACCCCCTTAAACATGAGACCAGCTCTGACCGCAGCAAAAAGTGGGCAATCTTCGACCTAAACGACCACCCCGTCCCAACCTTCCACAAAGGCCGGGTCGTGATCTCCGGCGACGCCGCCCACGCGACCTCGCCGCACCACGGCGCGGGCGCCGGCTTCTGCATCGAGGACACCGCCGTGCTGGCGACGCTGCTGCAGGACGAGCGCGTGCGCACCCACGCTGACCTGGCGGCGGCGTTCGCCGCCTTCGACGCCAGCCGCCGCGAGCGGTCGCAGTGGCTGGTGCGCAGCTCGCGGTTCATCGGGGACTGCTACGAGTGGCGGGCCGAGGGCGTCGGGCGGGATTTCCGGAAGATCGAGGAGGAGATCAATCGCCGGAATGGGGTGATTGCGAATGTGGATGTCGCGAAGATGGTGGACGAGGCGCGGCAGGAGTTGGGGAGGCGGTTGGCCGTGGCTGGGGGGAGCAAGGCTTCTTTGTAGGGGGGTTTGGGGGTGTATGGAATGATATCAATTGGGGTGTGTATATAGGTAGTAATGTAGATAGTTGCGATTTGTGGCTTTGAGCTTTTGTTAATTTCTATAATGTTTATACATAGCAGCCGGTTGTGAATATGTAGAATTACTTCTTACTTATTGTGTGACGTCAGTCTGGATTGATTTATGAAGAATGCTATAGATAGAAGTAACGTCTTGTTCAGTGTGTAATTACTTTGCGGTCTGAACCAACTATGATCAATGTCTATGTTGATACTATGTGAAGTGCTTCCCGAGACAACGTCAGCCACCTCATGCTGTCTCAATTCCTCTTCCTCTCACTCATTGGCTTCCCCGCATTCAACTGCCGGGCGCTATCCGACATTTGTCCCACATTTGTCCCGTTTGCCCTGTTTGGTCTGTTTGCCTACCTTTCGGAAGCGGTCAACAACGGCAAGAGAAGGGCGCATCCGATGGGGCTGGGGATTTCCCCTCATCGACTCCCCAACTTCCGAAAGCTTGTTTCACTCCGACTCCTCGAATTTGAGGGGAATATGGGGCTGTTTGACTCGTTCATTTCACAGGAGAGAGCGCATGGCCTCGAGTGGGCGTCCTGGCTCTGAGCTCCGATGATTGCATCGGATTCCAGTTAGCATTTTTGATGACCTACAATCTAACGTGGTTGGTCGTCCTTCCTCACGGACTGCTCCCACCCGACCTCAGCCAGCTTCGGTGCCTTTGATCACCCGGAAAAATGCGCCACAGTCTGAAAAGCGTATCAGCAGGCGCTCATCTACCTCGTTCCACAATGAATTGGAGCCAACCTTTCTCATCAAAGAATTCCAGCTCGAGACATTTGGTGCGTTGAGCGGACCCTAACGTGGAGGCCGAATGCTTAGACTCGTGCGAGAGGACACTGGTCGTGCTGTCCATGGAGCCGCGCCGCGAGATGCCTTGAAATGCGAATTTGACCTGCTTCGGCTTGGCGACAGGGGCGCCAAGATCGCTCACTGAAACGTATCAGCCGCCTTCAGACAATCACGCATCACTCTTGTTGACATACTGGGTATGTCCATGAACCTCGCTCGCCGGGAAGTGCCCGGAAAAGAAGCGAAGTACAGCAGCGACAGACCCTTTGAAATTGGGTCTTCAAGGATTCGGATTGCTTCTGCCGAGTTGGAGTGGCAGTCTGTCGCATTGATGGATATCTTTCTTGCGTCGATACAGGAAATGACCTTCCGGCGGAGGAGAACTTCTTGAAAGGACTCAAAGTCTGTGAAGGTTAGTCTAGGTGCCTGATCAACCCTTAGCCCGTTCCGAATGACTGTACCGGACATGTCCTGGAGTTGATACATTGGGGAGATGTGGTACCGCGTGGTTGTATGGTGGTCTTCGATCTTTGTCTTGTGCGAGCCTTGAAACCAGACTCCGAGCTGGGCTGTAGTGACTCGTCGGCTGGGAACGTATGGGAGCATGGAGCTCTTAACCGTGGATGATCCGCGCATGACTGTTTGAGTGACCCTGACTCCGTCTTGGACATCAACTGCTTCGATCGCTTCAGGCTCGTTTGTTTGTGTGTTAAAGCAAGCAACGACATTGCACATGAGAGGACGGTGTAGCACACGTTTTGGGATGTTTGGGTCGAGAAATTCTCTAACGGAAGAACGGTTAGCCAGAGACTATTTGGGTCCGGGGAAAGCGAGAAGGAAGCAGAGCATATTGACGCGGGCACGTACAGCCGCACCGGATGGCTTGTCAATGAAATCCTTCTGTCGGGTATCGGCATAGAAACCACCGACTGAGGAGACCCAATGGTCAGATCAGACTCTGTGGACCTCTGACGAGATATAGGTCCTGATGTGCGGTCGTCCGGAGAAGGCGACTTCTTCGGACTTAATGGGTGAGACAGTCCTGGCGAGTGAAGCCCCAAATCATGAGCGTCCGTATTGAAGGCGTGAACGAGTTGAAAGTCAAGCCATTGTCGGAACTGTTCCCATTCCTCGGCAGTGTCATTGATGGTGTGGCGTGATGTTGGTGAGACTTGATCTTTTTGATAGAGATCATGATTGGGCACAAGATCGTGTCCGTATCCCACCATCCCCAAAGCATCGCGCACGTCGTCGCTCACTTGATGAAGGAAGCGCGATATAGCTGCGACATCGAGTGTATTGCTATCGTCGCTATTGACCGTATGCGGAAGCCCACCAGATCGGGACCGTTGTGCGAGACCATGGGTGTCGTAAGTGTCGAGCCTCCGAGTGAGATTGCCTAGTCGCTCAGATATGTCCCGGATGCGATCTAGAACCCTTTGATACTTTTGACTATCCACCTGGCTGAGCACGTCGTCGTCCTCGGGTATCGCACTCAGCATATGCTCTGACTCCAGCAGAGCTCGCCTCAGTCTGTTCCTACGGTGATTCGGGTCATGAGCGTCAAAGGCATTGGTCTCCATCGAAGTGTCGAGCATGCATCGCTTCAAAAGTAGAGAAATCTGTGATGTCATGGTTCTTTCAAGCGTTAGCATGCTATGTAATGACTGCACTTCCTCCAGGGAAAAGACGTACTTGATGGACTTCAGCATCTCGAGATTCTCCAATTGATTATTCTCCGTTGCCTTCATGAACCCGAACGTCGCATCTCGCGTTTCCTGACTCGATTTCAATGTCGCAATTTTCAGACATCTCTCGAGCTTTCGTCGGAGCCTTTCCGCTTCGTCACGCTCTAGTGGCCAGGTAACCTTCTCGAATAGGATGGTTGCTTTGGTGCCGAAGCTGTTACGCCGACCCTTCAAGGCCTTTTCACCCTGCGTCAATTGCCGATGCTTATGTACGAACCCTGCGCATTCATCAATCGTCTGGTTGTAGAAGGCCCCCAGATCTCGTTCGCCCTTGATGGTCGGCTGCTTTGTCTTTTGAATCTGCTCCAATAATCCTTTTATGGCCCCGAATTCTTGCCGAAATGAGTTAAAGTCGGCAGAAGCACTTGCGGGTCCTTCTTTGACATTCTTGTAGATAGTCCAGACAGTAGTAACGGCTGTCATGACATCTCCAAGACCTATCTGGGGAAAGCTCATTGCTTGTTCCCTGTCCTAGAATGTGTTCTTCAGAACAAGAGGTGCTTCGTTGTTGACGGTTTGAAATGCACAATCAAGCAGAAGGGAATCGGAGCAGAATGGATATGTGTCTGCAGGATAGATCACCGCATCCCGGCGCTGGCAAGTCACAAGGGACTTTGAAATGCCACGAGGCTGAGCTACCATGGGAGGAGTAAAGCGCCTTCGCTTCTAGCTGGTCAGGCCACAGCTTGTCGCCGAGGGCAAATGAGCTTCATAGGGGATATGCGAACATGACTGCGCCCCACTACCTGGCCTAGAATTGAGACAATATCGTCTTCAGAGCCCTGACTCTTATCGCCTCAACCACATGGTAGGCACCCTGAGCTTTCGATTGTGGATACCTTCATCGGGTAAGCTCTCGTGGTGGCGGTGCACGAGCCCCTTAGCACCGGTCTAATTTCTCCTTTTAGACCAATCGAGGAGCTTTGGTCAGAAACGTGCTGAGATGAGTCGATCAATTCGATATGACGTACAGACATACCATTATATTCTGGCTTCCAACACGAACCCGGATGATGGCCCCCGGGGTTGCTTTTCATCTCGTCTTTTCTTGTCTGCTTGGGTTCAAGTAGTGGCATCAGTGTCTTGTGAGACAGCAAGAGATATGGCCCATCAGTATCAGCGGCTACCGCCCCCTTGTCAGCCTTGCGACCTTGCAGCCTCGCAATCATCGTATACCTATAACTGCAGGGACTGATCTGCGTTGATATTAATTCCAACTGAAAGGAATGAGTTCGCAGTCTAGAAACAGGCCATTCTATTCCAGCCTCTCAACTCGGTTCGTACAGAGGCACTACTTCAGAATTAGACCAATCAGGTTTTGAGCTCCTGCCAGTCTAATCGATTGCTATGGGTCTTTTTCCCCAGGTCAAATTGTACCTGAATCCGTGGGGAAACTACGAAGACTTCAGACACCATGCTGTAGTTATAACCCTCCTCTCGTCATTCAACGGGCGTTGAGTACTTTGCTGACTCGCCTATAGCCGGCCCAAAGACACGATTTTATTATCAGTCGTTTAGAGAATGCGAGGAAAAGAGAATGGCTGTGGGTTATTGTAGTGGCTGGTACCGGCTTCTTCGCAGATGCATACTGTGTAAGTGACTTGAATATCAAGCACACGTCCGTGACTGACCTTATAGATCTTTTCGGTCAACATGGTCACTCCGATGCTTAGTGCAGTTTACTGGAACAACATCAAGCTCAAGTCTAACACTTTACACAATTATCAAGTTGCCCTCGCCATTGCCACCTTGGGGGGTGCGCTGGTGGGCCAGATCCTGTTTGGCATCGCCGCTGACATCTGGGGTCGCCGTAAGATGTATGGATGGGAACTCATCATTCTCATATTCAGCACTCTCGGTATGTCAATGGCATCGTCTGGGAAGGATGACTCCATGTCCATGATTGGAGTTCTGCTCTTCTGGAGATTCTTCATGGGGGTGGGGGTAGGGGCTGACTATCCATTGTCAGCCGTGATATGCTCAGAGTATGACCGTTTTGTTCTTCTTGTGTGCAGTATGTTGCTCAAGACAGTTCTCATGGTGTTCCAGGCTTGCTCCGACACGCATAAGAGGTCGCATGCTGGCAGTTGTGTTTCTTTGCCAGTCTCTTGGGGAGGCGGCAGCTGCCGTCGTGGCACTCATCGCCGTAGCTGGCTTCCGAAACAGCCTCCCAGATGACCCCAACAGTCTGAAGTGTACGGGCTCCTGCGTCCATGACCTGGACAAGATATGGAGGTATATTGTCGGCTTGGGTGCAGTTCCGGCATTTGTCGCGATTTGGTTCCGGATGACTATCATTGAATCTCCACGATACACTGCCGATGTGATGAACAATAGTCTGCAGGCTGCCGCCGATGTCTCCCAGTTCTATCGGTCAACAGATTTATCAGCCACATCCATGTCCAGTCTGGGAAGGGATTCGATCTCTCTCACACAGACCCGTACACGCGAAGATCGCACTATCTCGCCGGCCGTCTCCCGCGATTCTGGCTCTGGAGCCAGCGAGAATGGCCCAAACTCCCGTGTAAGTATGTGGAAGGATTTTAGAATGTTTCTCAAACAGAATCACAACCTCCGCACTCTGATCGCGACTTCTCTGTGCTGGTTCTGCCTCGATCTGCCGTTCTATGGCCTGGGCTTGATGAATGCGGAGATCATCAATACCATCTGGTATGGGCAGGCCATTCAGCCAGCGGGCGTCTACCAGTATCTTCTGCGCGTGTCATACCAAAGCATTGTGGTCGTCTCATCTGGTGCCATTGTCGGCAGCGCAATCGCTGTCATGACGGTCGACCGCATTGGCCGGCGAAATCTGCAGCTCTTGGGCTTTGCTTGGTTGTTCATACTGAACGTGATCATCGGTGCGGCCTTTCGGTATCTCAGCGAGCATGGCGATGCATCGGCTCTTGTCGTGCTCTATGTGCTGACGCAAATCTTTTTCAATTTTGGTAGGTTCATACGCTGCCTTGGAAAGAGCTGGCTAATGCCGAACTAGGACCGAACACTACGACTTATATTGTATGTTACACACATTGCTATTCCGTTGACTCCGACAAGAGTCGCTCGTTGTTAACATCATTAAAATCACCTCTGACACCCTGCAGGTTCCCGCGGAACTCTTCCCCACTCGCTTCCGCTGCACCTGCCATGGTATCTCGGCTGCATCCGGTAAACTGGGATCCATCCTAGCCCAGTGTTTCCTGGGTTATGTGGACTTTGGAAACGGTGCAAACTGGCGACACGTGCCAGATTGGCTGGGTTATGCGCTTCTATGGTAAGCCCATCGGGTTTCGTCTCGGGCGGTCAAGGTCTGACCAGCATCTAGCCTGTCTTTCTTCATGCTGATGGGCCTCATTGTCACTCTTTGGATACCAGAGACACGGGATTCGAGCGGAAATAATAAGTCTTTGGAACGAATCGCGGCGGAGATGGAATTCAAGAAGGAGTGTGATCGGGATATTGAGACCAATGGCTTGCATAGGCCGGTTACTGACGGTTCTTGAGGTTTCAATCGCTTTATATGGCCCTTGTTTGCTGTGATACCTATGTATTCCTGACCTTGCTTATGGCCCTATTTTTGAGCAGTGACGAAGGCTCATCCAGGTGCTAGACTCATTCAATGCTCCGCTTGAATTCACCAGCAAAGAAGATTCAATCTTATGATGGCGAGCTGCCGGTCACTGTATTCTAGTAGCCTTTCTGAAAGACTTATTCACTTTCCTTTTGGTAAGCAAGTTCTAAATGATTCACCTATTGCGTGCAGCCTGCAGAGCTAAGCTATTGTCTCACTTTCATTGAATGTGAATTGACCTATTGTTGAAAACCATTAACTCTCCGACTGGCTGCCCATTCCCCAGAGGTAATCTGGCTCCTTCCTCCACTATTTAAATCTCCATCCACTCCCTCTTTTTCTTCCTCTTCCTCTTCCTCCTCTTTCCATCCACCAACCCACCCTCCTCCATCACCCCATATCTTACGTCTCTCATCCTTTTTCTTCCTTACCCTCCTCCATCACCCTTCCATCTATCAAGCCATCATCCTGATTATCTTATATGATGCTTATCATCCTCATGTGTCTCCTCCACTCGGTATACTGTTCAATACATGGAATGCCGCTAGACAGAATGGGTCCGTTCCTCAAGCAGACAGCCATCTGGCCTATACTGAGTGCGCGCTGTGCAGCCTTGAACGAGAACCCCAGGCCATTTCCTAATAGTCTCTGGTGTTGGATCACTGGGCAGAAGTCCCTCAACCCGGCCACTTCGCCTGTGACGGGCGAGGTGTCATCACTGGGTTCGTTGCAGATCAAACGCCCATGGCAAACCCACTCAGCAGTCTGTTTGCCAGAGGCTCCCAGTACATCTTGCAGAATGAGGACCGATCTTATCCTAAGGAGCAACTGCGATGCCCACGCAGAGTGAAGTCCTTTGCATAGAGATGCAACAGCTTGTGGTGCGAGACCAAATCTCCTCCCGCCCTACCAAAAGCTCCTTTCGACTAGCCGCATGAGGGCCTTGAAAGGCAAGTTCAACCACCAGTACATTGACTCTTCGACTGTGCGAGACTCTACCGATACTGCCACTTTGGCGTTCTTGATTTTCAGTCTATTTCTGCATCCCTCCTGTTATCATCCCGTTATCAATCCGACTCTTCAAGATGCCGGATTTCTCTTTTATCTCCAAGGCAGTGGACCAAAGCTCTCGCTGCCCGTATTGCAGACACAGCATCTTATCCCAAGGAAAGATGACCTGATCACACGGCTTGCACATCTTTTGGGACTTCATTGGCCGTTCGATTTTTCACACGTTGAAGATGCCGTCTCTTGTCATGGTACCACCGATATCCTGGTCCACATCAACGAGGTGGTATTCTACTTCTACGCGGATGCTGTGAGGCATGGAGCAGCCTCGAATGTCCTAGGCGTCTGCACTGGAATCCTTGATCTGGTGCTTGAAATTATTCCCGTCCACCATCCCCAACTGCGGTGCTGCTTTCAGCATATCAGAGCGTTCACAACATCATCTCAAGATCCTCAATCCTCAATACTTCAGAAACCCGAGACCTTGCGGAACACAAAGTTACAGCTCTTCAAAAGGGGGAAACATAAGCAAAACACAGGTGACATTCCAACGCGTTTTTGAGTTCCCTGAACCACCATATCAACCATTGAAGGAACCCAAGGCGGCAAAAGGCCTGATTCTCGACAAAGTCGTTAAACCAAATCATATTCAAGACGCGATTTGGGGACTCCCAACGGCGGCACTTAAACAAGCAGTTTTCGCATTATCCGACAATCCTCCGCGCTTTGTGCGTGCGGCTTGCTTAGAAGCCCGGGGAAGTGTTGGCAGCAACTATAGCAACCCTCGGTTAGTATTTCTGCCACTGCCGACTGCTTAGCTGCCGGGCCTTCCCGCCTCCGGCGAGACTTCACACCCAGGGCTGACTGGGACCAGCCAGCGCCCCGCGTGTCCCATCTTCTGTCCTCTGCGAGTAAGTGCTGTAGCTCGCGTTGGGTGTGTGGAGTGCGTGGTCGCGAGTGGTTCGCCGTTTGTATTTGGTGCTGGCTTTTTCTTGATTTTGAATCAAGTTCTCTATGCTGCGTCCTACAGCTAAAGCTCACCCGGCGGTGGAATCGACATCCTGACGCTGCTATGCTCCTTCTTTTCTGGCGTGGTTTTGAGAGCACATATTTTCCGGAGAACATTGTTCCCTGATCCGCCTCGCGGCCGGAGGCTTAATCCAGTGGACTGCAAAAGACATGGGAGGGAATGCAGAGAGTGCGGACACCGTTGTTGATGAGGACTGAAATTTCGATACCGTTATGCACCATTTCATACCCTGCAGAGCGAATGCAATACAAATCCTCGCGAATTGCTGCTGTACAAGACCGGCTTTCGAAGCAATCCAACGGCCTTCAAGAACTGGAACATGCGATTTGGGAAGGGAAGACTAGGCTATGATATGGTCCATGTATTTTCTCACTCTCCACTGTTGAATCTGGTCTCGATCAAACGCTCGCCTTCCTGGCGAGATTCCCTATCGGCTGAACCCAGATCTTAACGAAAACTTCGGATGCTTCGAGCGAAAAGAAGGATTAAACCAGACAATATTTCTGAGAAGATTAGGGCCATCGTGGTTACGCCGCCAACCGGAACGCAGCAGATTCAGGCAGGCCAAAAGCTGGATGAGCTTATCCAAGCCTGGCAGGTCACCGGGGCGCCTATAGCTCCGAATGACACATGAAGCCTGAACCTAATGATGCTGGGCCAGGTCTGCTCCACAAGAAGGTCTCAAACCCAGATGCTGTGAGCAAGGTCAGGTAAAGTGAGGCCTCAGGTCTCCTTTTGCTACCACGGTCGGTTGCAGACCGCATCGGGAGCGAGCGAGTGGACGAAAAAGCGCCCGCGGCTGCAGGAATAAAATGCGCAAATACTGGCGCCAAGCCAGCCGCTGTGCTTCTCTGTGACAAGAATGCGAAAACTATGGGGATGAATCTGCTCTAGAGAGTCTATAGCACACGACTAAAGATGGCAACCTAGCGGTAACCGGGTCTCTTCTGGTGCCGCGGCTACCTCAGACCTTATGATCCCAGTGTCTGACAATCTGCAGCAGCGGCTTCATTTGACGATCCTGGTTTGGAGGTAATGGCAATATCTTGGCCTCAGGTTTATCCGACATTCAGGTCTGGAACGTGCACGCATCTCAGGGAGCCGAGTGACCGATCGTTATCCTTAGCTTGGTAGTAACGACGGGCCTTGGCCTTTTTCTTTAAATGAGATTCAACAGATTCAATATCGCGTTGGGTCGAGCTGAGGTCAGCATCTTACATCATCGCCAGCGTCGGCGAAATGAAGCAGTCTGTTGAAAAGCGTGCCCCCCGAGGAGCAGCCCACAACCTTCAAATAAGTGCTCTGGGAGAAGTGACAGACCTGCTCACCGCGGGTGACTCAAATATAGGTCATGTAATGATTCTATGATGGAGTAGGGGGTGCTTGAGAAGCCCGCAATGATAGATTCCGGCGCTATGACCGGTACGAGACAATGGCTGACAAAGAGTGAGACAGTGAGCGGGATCACAGCAAATCGAAACACAAGCCATAATGCTCATGATGGCGTCCGGAAGGTCGGCGAGAACCTGAAAGTCCGAATGTGCTGCTGCCAACGTTACATTTTTATTCTTCAGGACACGCGGCTACTGGGTCGACCAACATCATACGGAGGGCATGATAGCTTCACTCAACCGCGCTCCCAGGGCCTTAAGAGCAAAAGAGCAATGCTGGTACAAGTCCGAGTCATCCCGTGCGAACAGAAGATCGATAACCTGTTTCTGAAAAGCCTAGTACTGATTGTGGACAGTTGTGATCCATCGGTACGCTCTGAATGAATCGAAGACCTCATCAGTGCCTATGTTCAGCATATTCACGGATCCAAGAGATCGGAAGAGCAAGAATCAAGCGAGCCCGATGAATTGACGTACTGGATCATTCGATTCAAAGCTCGAAGCTGCACCGTCTTTGGATTGGACTTGGATTACAAGAGCTTCGATGCCGCACCGGCCAACTTAACTACATTTGCCAACTCGACCGTAACTTGAAGAACGGCAACGGAAGTCACATCATTTCACGTGAGAATTCTCATTACAATGCTGATGAAACTTCGGCAGAGGATCTGGATAAGAAGGCTAATTCCAATATCTACCCCTAGAGCACCCCAAACAGAGCCGACCCGGCGCATGCGTGACGCTTGGGCTAAATGGGTCATCCATCACACTGATGACCATTATTGCCCTGCTGCCTTGAGGGCTCTGATTTGAAGCCCTTGTTCGTTTTGAAGAGATCGATGATCACGCATGGAGTATATCTCGAGCCTAGAAGCGTTGTTCCAGCTGGGTCGGACAGCCGCATGATGAAGAAGATGGCACCACGCCAAGTTGGATCAACCTCGGGCTGGGTATTAGCATCAGGTCAATTGCGAAAACCCGGCCCCGCTTCTTCTGGTGAGTTTGTATGGCGTCATTTTTCCCCTGTCGCGTGCTCGGAGGGTATTTTGAAGCGTTCATTCGGAGATCGTCGATATTGACTAATCGCTGGGGAATGATATTTCCGCTATAAAGTATCACATTGCGATGCCCAAACTCTATCTAAGACCTAAATCCCTTGGCGTTGCGCCTTTTGCACGCCTTTCTTATCACGATATCAATTAACTTGAAGTCAAAGATTCGAACAGATAACCCGCGGACTTTGACACTGCGAATGTTTCAGTGAAGCTCACATATGCTCCATGTCAACTCATTGTTGTATTTTGCTGTACATGATCTGTGGCAATACCCAGTCTGCCGTCTGCCCTTTCTCATTATGCGGCACGTCAGCATGCACTGCCAGCTGTGCAGCCCACAGACCGCAAGACCGACAAACTCGCAGACAGCTTACTTATCTCTTCTACTTGAAGGGTCTCAAAGAGGCACTACTTGGAACAAACCGTCTAGGATCGACTGGCCAACTTGAGAACGAAGTCTCATGATTGAGGTATCTGGCTGTTAGGCTTTCGACTGCACATGACCGAGCCCTATCTACCCTGGCGATCTTGATACGGAAGGTCCAATTAGAGCAAACCGAGTTCTGTTCGGGTGAATATCCGTCTTCAGACTTGAGAGTATGCTCTTTCGCCCCACATATAAAGGGCGGTATATGTATTGCGGTACGGAAGCTGTATATACGAATCAAATCTGAATCCTAGGCGCTCAACGCCACAGTATCAGTTCCCTTAACAATACGTTTGTCCCAGGCCGCGCTGTTATGGAGATACCGCTGCATAATAACTGAACAGTTCAAATCGACAAATAGATGATCTATACGGTCCGGACGCCCCCGGCGAGGCGGCACGCACCCTCATTGACAATATCTCGTCTGAGGCTGTACATTTATCTTGAACGGCACAAGATCCTCTATGATAGGGAAACCAGCCCGCTGAGGTTGGGGTTCCCGGCACACACTGTGCACTCACAGAAGGTACATTGGTTCTACAGCATTGCGTGCTCGAGCGGATGGAAATCAGGGCAGAAGAACAATATGTACAGAAGTACATCAGTGACGCTTGGGTTCTTCTAGCCATTCACGAATTATCAACAACAGACAGAAACCTCTACTACCCCGCTGATTTTGATAGGCAAGGAAACCTACGTCAATCCCGCGTACCTGCCGGCGACCTTTCATCTTTTCACGCGCATGAAAACTTCTTTTTTCCGGTCTATCGTCGACACGGGCATGGGAGAACATCCGTCTCTCCGATACGAGGAAGCTCGCGTGAAGCGAATAGACCTCAGTTATGCTATTCTGACGCGAGAAAAATGAGCAAAGATCATGAAATGGTACTCTTATCTTAAACCCTGCAAAACAACGAATGGGAAGACATTGAGGAGGAAGATGGGGCAAATAGGGATCTACTGGACGCCGATGGATTTCCCCACGTTTTTCAATGAATCAAATGAGAAGTACGTCTATCGAGTGCTTGATCTAGGAGCGGATAATATCGAAGCTTGATAGACACGTTTAGATATCGACTTGAGGGTATTTTTGGATATACCTGGACTCTAGCACGCCAGACCCCAGAAGACAATGTGACGGATGGCAGCACATCGACAGGCAGATATAGGCTATGCTAATAAATTGGAAAAAGTCTCTTCCATGTGACTGGCAAGATTGAACAGACAATTCTCCCAGTGATTCGTACAATGTTCGGTCGTCCGAAACCGACTCGAAAGGAAGTGCTTCTTCTTCCGAATTGTATTATCCACGTCATTGACAGTGGCTTGCACAACGAGACACTAAAAGCAATGAGCCAACGAAAGGCAGTATGTGGATAGGCCATGCCCATGTGAACAAATACTCAAGTATAATAAGCAAATGATACATCGTAGGTGTTTGTTTGATTTTTTCCACCACCGGTTTACACAATCAGTACGCATTGCATATCCCACGCCCCAAACCCAAGAACCCTGTTTTCCTCTCTCTATCCTTCTTCTACTTTAGCATATGCCAGCCCTATGTTATTCTGTCTCCTCCATCACTGTTCCCCTACATGTGTCTTGCATATACAATGATCCTCTCCGTTAACATCGTCACTCTCTTAGTACATGCTCAACATTTACTAATCTTCTGTTTCTTTAGATTCTTTTATTCGATTACCACCCTGTTGATCTTCAGTCTACATGCATACCCTATCTACACCTTACCCACACCACACATACACCACACATACACCAAGATATCTACTACTACCCATCTTTGGACAGAGGATGATGTTAACAATCCTGAGGTTCTGAATGCAATCAACCCTCACCATGAATCTGGCTACTTCCATGGTTCGTATATACCCTGCCTATCCAGTTCCTTGCTAAGCATATGCAGGGCCGATCCCAAACAACAACTCGGGATGACAACCTCACTCCACGCGCGCCTCGTGTCTCTGCGGAGGATAACAGCGGTATGTGTATAGCCAGCACATATGAGCTGCAAATGCCGACGATATACCTAGCTCCGCCTAATGAAGGTGTCCTTGTCAGTTCTGTATCAGGCCGTGTGTAAGACTATCAAGCGCATATCCGTAGCATATGCTAACCCCTACAGCTGCCCTATAGCAGTCTCGGGTGGAAATGTCATGTGTGGCCACTACTGCCTGGCCAGACCAGAGGACATCCATCGCAAATATATACAATGAAGAAGCTCCCTCTTTATCACGATCATTGTGTTCCTCGCGATCAACGACCACGGGCAGCCCGCCGCCTTTGTCTGCCTGAACTCAATACATCATGGGGTGGGATAAAGCGATGCCGCATCCTGAAGGTCTGGCTTCGGAGTCTATTTGCTTTTGCTCTTCTTGCCCGCGATGCAGGAAATCACCCCGACCCGCAAGGCTGACAAAGACGGTTTGGCAAGAGAGGTTGAAGACAGAAGCCTGGCTTTCCCAGAGTGCGTAGTACCTGAACAAGGGCTGTTAGGTTGTGTTTTGGCGGCACGAATTATGGGCGGATGATTGATTTCACATATTCAAGACACGACTGAAGTGGAACACTGGTGCTAGATAGACGTAACAGTTCATCACAATCAATATACGATTCAGCTACTTGCATACAGTTCATCTCGATGGGTCGGGTTGGTTGGAAGTGTAGTGAGAGTGCACGTGACCCCTCCCCACCTCGGGCTACGACTATGACCTTCCTAAATAGGCAATCCTGAATCTATCCCCCCATCCATCGAACAACACTTCTAGAATCATCATAGCAGCAAAGACACCCCTGCTGATAGTCCGGCCGATGCATTTCTCGCCCGAGACGCGATAATGCTACGGTCTCAAACGCTGGACCCTCACAAAGGAACAACCCCCCATCAGCACGGGAGATTGCGCCATCGGACCACGGCTTTCGTGATCGCCCGCCAACAGCAGCAGAACTGGCTCACCCGGGCATTGTGCATCCAGGCACGCCATCCTCTCCACTCTTTGCAAGTGCAGGGGAAGAGTCGATGATCATCGCGTGCAGGAACGAAATTCTGGAACCATGGCTGGACCGATGCGCCGATGCGCCGAGGGGTAGAGGGGGTAGGTAGCGGGGTTGCACGGCAAGTATATAACCCTTCCCCCTCGCTCATCCAAGCGGCGTTTCTGATCCTCTACTGCAGCATAGGAATCCCACCAGACCTCTATAGTCACTCACTGTCCACGGACACAAGACCACTAGCAGTCCCTCACAATGGCTCTCACCCAACAGCCCCCGACCACCATCCCCCTCGACATCTTCCCGGACGGCCTCAAAACCACCGGCCAACACCCCCCGCTCTACGAACACATCCACCCCTTCGACCGCTTCCCCCAGGAAATCACCGGCCCGACCGTCTGGAAGCCCGAGGACTACCGCGAGCACCCGGAGAAATGGACCCATCGATTTACTGCGGAAGAGGTCGAGGAGCTCTCGACGGCGGCGGATGCCTTCCTGGCGAATAAGATCCCGTTGACGGGAATCAGCAAGGTGCGCAGCCTACCACCACCACCACCACCACCACCTCTCAAGAACAAAAACTAACCCAGTAGAGAAAAAGACCAACTTCCCCCTCCCCACCCTAAGCACCCGGCTACACACCCTCCGCGAAGACCTGCTCAACGGCAAAGGCTTCATCCTCTTCAAAGGCCTCCCCGTGCACGCCTGGGGCAACCACAAATCGGCGGTCGCGTACATGGGCCTAGGCACGTACCTGGGGTATTTTGTCTCGCAGAACAGCCGCGGCCACGTCCTGGGGCATGTCAAGGACCTCGGCGAGGATCCCACGCAGATCGACTCGGTGCGCATCTATCGCACGAATGCGCGGTGAGCCCTTGCCTGCCTTTCCCTTTCCCTTCCCTTTCATCTGGAATCCCCACCCCACCCCGCCCTATAACGAAAAAAAAAAATAAAAAAAAGACTAACCCGTGCCAACGAAAACGGAGCAGACAATTCTTCCACGCCGACGACTCGGACATCGTGGGGCTGCTGTGCATCCACCGCGCGCGCGAGGGCGGCGAATCCGACCTCGTCTCCTCGCACCACGTGTACAACACGCTGGCCACGGAGCGGCCGGACGTGCTGAAGACGCTGACGGAGCCGATCTGGTACTTCGACCGGAAGGGCGAGACCAGCAAGGGCGAGGAGGAGTGGATCCGCACCAGTGTGGTGTATCTGGAGCGGGAGGGTGGTGCTGGTGCTGGTGCTGCCGAGCCGAGGGTGTATACCAAGTTCGTCTTACCTTGCCCTTCCTTACCTTTACCCTACCCTATCCCCAAGCCCCAACTTCTTAACCCCTAAGTCAACGGTCAAGCTAACAGCCAGAAAAGATGGGACCCGTACTACGTCCGCTCGCTGACGCGCTTCTCGTCCACGGGGCTGATCCCCCCGCTCAGCGCGGCCCAGACCGAGGCCCTCGAGGTGCTGGAGGCCACCTGCAACCGGCTGGCGTTGCACATGATCCTCGAGGTGGGCGACATCCAGTTCCTGGCGAATTCGCACGTGCTGCATGCGCGCACGGCGTACGTGGACCACGCGCCGCCCACGCCGCGGCGGCATCTGATGCGGTTGTGGTTGGCGACGCCGGAGAGTGAGGGCGGGTGGCGGTTGCCGTTCTGGGATAGCAATGAGAAGAAGCGCGGGGGCATTCAGGTCGATGATCAGCCGCCCGTGGCGCCTTTGGATGCGGAGTAGATTCGTTCGTGGTTGATTTGGTTGTAAGATTTAGCCCTGGTTTCTCTGTTTGTTGGGAATGAAATACCATTTGTTTTTGTTTGTCTAAGGTAATATGGATATGGGATTTGGTCATAGTGTGTGTGTGTGTGTGTGTGTGTGTATTAGGTTGTAGTCATAATTCGTACATGTGCATTCCTCTCGCCTCCTCTTCATGCTGATGCTGGCCGGGAAAGGGAAACTGCTAGTTCTCCAGACAAACGGATAGAACATAGCCATGGCTTGCCCACCTACTGCGCCTTGATCTTATAATTCCCCCCACTCACAATCTCCAAGTTGCCCTTGGCCACCATCCCCGCCAGAAACTCCCGGAGCTCCTCGTTGCTGAACGGGAACCCCCCGGGGACCGCGATCTTCAGCATCATCACGATCCGCTGCAGCGGCATGGCGCCCTGGTTCGTCAGCATCCCCACGATGAACTGCCAGTACAGGTTCATCTTCTCCATCGCGGCCGCTTCGGCCGATTCCTTGGCGGCGGCCGCCGCCGCTGCCGCTGCCGCCTCGGCCGCGTCCTCGAAGACCGGGGAGGTGCTCAAGTTGGATGGGCGGCGGGGGTGGTGCGTGGTCGGCGTCGTCGGAGCGGTGTTGGTCTTGGGGGAGGTCGTGGTGGATTGAGCGGCTGGTGGGCCGCCGTCATGCTCACCAGAGGAGGAGGGCAGGACTTCCAGCACGCGGAAGGTGTCGCGCGGGTGTTCGTGGAGGATGCGTTTGCTCACCCAGAAGAGGCAGGCGGAGCGGACGAGGGTGGCGGGCATTTGGAGTTGGTGGGCGAGGTCGGTGATGGTTTTGGTCGTGGTTCCCGCGGAGGATGAGTTGAACGCATAGATGACCGTGGCTTGCCATGTGGTGACGTCGTCGACGAAGACGCGGTCCTCCAGGTCGAGTTCCACGGTGACTTGGCCAAGGCCGTTGAGCCAGGTGAGCTTGCGGGATTGTTTGAGGGAGCCGAAGCCCTGCGCGTAGCGCTGCTGGAGAGAGGCGATGGGCTCTGGAACGCGGAACTCCGGCCCGGGGAGGTCGGGCCAGAAGAAATGCGACAGGATCTTGGCGTGGAGGTCGGGGTTCTCGGGTTGCTGCTGGCTCTTCGCTAAGCCTTGGTCATTGCGGATGACGCCGTCCACGCGGCGCGAGTCGAAGATATCGCGCAGCATGACCTCGCACGCCTGCAGCGCGTTGTCGCCAAAGCGGACCTTGAGTAGTTCCAGCACAGACATCTCCTGATCGAAGTCGGCACGCTTCTGGAGGAGGCGCTCGCCGAGCATGTTCTGCATCTCTTTGACGAACATCTCCTTCGAGTCGAAGAGGCTGATCAGACTGCCGATCACGTCGGACGTCTTGGATTTCCGGTAGTCCGGCGCGGCGTCCACCGGGTCCGGCATCCAGTTCATGTCATCCCAGTCGAGTTCGCCGCTGTCGGCTCGGAGGGAGTTCTGGTGCGCCTTGGTGAGCTCGGCGGATAGTTCAACCAGCGTGTCGGGGTGGTGGAGGGATGCGGTCTGGCCGTCCGCATCGGCAGGATCGGCCAGTAACCCGCCAACAATAACTTTGATGGTATCGTCTCGGTCACGGAGGTATCGACGGATGGGGCGGGCAATCCGATCGAGAAGAACGCCCTTGGGGTCAAGTAGATTAAAGGCGCGGATGATAGAAATGTAGACCTGGAGAATCTCGATAGTGGATGCTCCCGGATGCAGCAGTCTGAGATTCAAGGCTGCAATGAAGGACTGTGTCAGATGATATCGCGCGGCTGGATAGGTTGTGAAGTTTCGGAGATCCTCGATCGCACCGCTGCTTGCAGGCCACTCCACGATCACATCAAAGAGCTCGCTCGTCCGTAAGGCTCCTAGACGGGCAATGCCAATCTCTTGCCACTTCTCCACATCACCCAGCGTCACGTCAAGACTGTCGACCTCCTTTTCGCCAGATTCAGGCACATTGATGATTGACAGGACCTGGACAACGAGCTGCGCAAAGACGTTCTCAATCCACTGTCGCAGGTGCTGCGAAGCCAACGACGGGCCCTCCCACTGGCCCGTATACGCTGTTCGAACAAACTCAGTCATCAAAGCATCCATGACGCTCGCGAAAACCTTCTGTGCCTTGTCGCCACCCATTCCCACGAGCTGCAGCCCATTGAAGAGCAGCAGCAGCCGCTCTCGCGCAGCCCCGACCCGAGAATCTTGTTCCGTCAACATCTGCATCCTGGCGGAGGGCGAGGGCTCATCGCGCCAGTCCTGGTAGGACACGGAGCACTGCCGATCGACATCCATGTCATCCACATCGTCAAGCCCGTCCGCAGCAGCCCTCTCTCGCAGGGCATCGATCCCCAGAATGACCAGCGCCTCCTTCATGACTTCGCGACTCAGCAACGCAGACGCCTGCGACCACGGCAGTGCATAAGCCACCATCATGTGAAACGACCGACACAGTTTCCCATACACACCCTCCTGCTCACCCCGATACAACGCGGTCAGGATCTCCGCCAGCGGCTCGAAGTAGATCCCCCGAATGACTTGCAGACACACCACAATCCTCTGCAAGAGACCCTCCTTCTCCGGTTCTTTGAGCATCTGCACCAGTAAAAGGGTCAGCAAAAAACGCACATCTACCCTGACCCTGGTTCCCGCCGACCCAACACACTAACCTCAACCAACCCACTTCTCACGTTCCTTAAAAAGTGCCTTCGGATCTCAAACCCGTACCAATCCAGGATACTCTTCTGCAGCGCGTCCCTGTTGTGTCGCACCCTCCTGTGCCCGAGAAACGGCTCGAGTAAGCACTCGAAAGCTTCCAGAGTCTCCTGGTCCGCCGTGCGGTGGCGGTTCCACAGCCGCATGAAGTGGGACTGGTCCATCTGTTCGCATCGAAGGAGTGTCGCGAAGCCTTGGTCGGGGACCGCGAGGAACTTCGTCGCGACGCGCCAGGCGACGTCCCAGGTCGCCTGCTCGGGCCAAAGCTCGTCGTTGTCGTCATCGTCGGAGGTTGCGATCTCGGTTTGCTGGGAGGTGGTGGAGGTGCGGAAGGTAGGGTTTTCGGGGCGCTGGGAATCGGGTTCGGGGTGGTGGTGCGAGCGGTGGGAGGAGCGGGAGAATAGGGGAGGGTTCGGTCCGAGTGTGTGAGACTTCGCGGCCAGAGGGAAGTCGTCGAGCGAGGCTGGGGGGAGGACGGAGGAGAAGACGCGTTTGCGCCGACTGGTGGTGGGTGGTGCTGTTGTTGGTGGCATGGTGGTGTGACTCGAGCCCAGATGGTGAGGGATCAGTCAAGGGAGATCATAGTAGAGCTGGATGTGAGTTGTGGTCGCTGCGCGCCTTCATTGAGGCGGCATTGTAGTATAGGGAACCCGTTGTCGTGGATGTTGCAGTGATCGAAGGAGTGCAGATTGCTGGAATTGACGGTGTTGATTGTTTGGAGATGGTCGGCTGAGTCAGCTGGCTTATCGATAAGGAATTTCCCAATGAGGAAATCCCCAAGCAAGACAGAATAAATTATAGCTGCTAGCTGAGGCACAGCCAGAGCACAGAACTAAGTTCATTAGAAGTGCATGATTCAGCAAAAGAAAATGACGTTAGTTGCTACAGCGCACGGAAGTCTACAGCATTACAGCTTGAGCCTATATTGTGTTGCAAAGGTAGCAAAGGGAGCTTTTGCTTTCATGTTACTTGAGCTTCGAAGAAAAATATAGAACCCGGAGTACGAGGTATCGAGCGCAGTCGCCATGTCAGATCAACGGATACAAGGCACTAGCGAGCCATACGGGATAATCATGCCTCTAGCTGATCCTTGCTCTCGAACAATAGTATTCTTAGAATATCTTCAAGCGGGGATCTCGTATTTGCTGTGCAGTATGAAAACACGGCCTGCAGCCGCTTTACTCTGGCCAAGAGCTTCTCCGATATTTGTACTACCGGGGGCTTATCACTCTCCCGCCAGTGTGTTGAATGCTAGTGTGATGAGAGACCACTACTATGGTCCATGGGCTGTTCTAATGCACGGAATAAGTCTAACCTGATGATACATTGGCAAATCATCAGTCTACCGGCAAGGCATGTTCTCTAACGGGTATCTCGTCGGTGCGAGGAAAAGACAAGGCCACTCAAATATTGAACATATGTATCTGACCCGCTCACGAGACAGATGTATTGGAGTCTGTTCTGAGGGGTTGTGTAGGGAGGTGTAACCAAAAAGCAATTCGAGCCGGATCTGGGCCCCAAAATGTAGCTGCACCTGCGAGATCGCAAGCCTGTTGCGGATCTAGGCCGCCTGGTTATCGTCCACCTTCTCCCATTCGCTATCGGTACTCTGGTAGCCCGAGCTCTCGCCGCTGACGCTGAGACGCTTCCGAATTTCGCCTTGCGCCTCGGGGAGCTGGAGGGTGGCCGAGGCAGTGGTGGAACGCGGAGCGGAAGTGGGCGCTGGTGCCGTTTCCTTGCGCCCTGCGATTTGTTCAGTCTCCGTATCACTATCGGTGGCGTCAATAGCGCCAGGAGTCTTGCGGATGCTGCTGTCGGGCTTGTCCTCGGAGCTCTCGTCCGGTTCCTTAACCGCTTGCTTGTCTTTCTCCGCCTGCTCTGCTTGGAACTGCCTTACTTCCCGCGCAAACCAGTTGATGGACCACCAGAGAGCGCCGGACAGAAAGGATAGAACCAGAAAGTGGATGCTGTAGGTAGCCAGGAGGAGAGACAGGAGCAAAGCCTGCAGAGCTGCAAAGGTGACGTTGGTTGCAACAAGGAGCGTGGGGGTGGGTCCCGGAGTGAAAATGCTGGACCAGAGGTCCTCCATGAACGAAGCCATAATGGCAATCTGCTTCAGCTCGATTGGCCGGCTGAATGCGGGGGAGATTGCAAGGTAGGTTGGGTGAAGCTGGGGGGAGAAAGAGGAATGACGTCGCAGCCGGAAAGTGGAATCCGTTGTAGCGGTGGTGGATTTCTTTTTCTGTGCTTATTTTCCCCCGTGTCTTTCAGCCGGTTGATGGTCGGTATGAGGCCGCTGAAATGCGTTGAGAGACAAGATAGCTCTGCAGCTAGCCAGAGATCGGGCGAGTACAAAGGTCCAGTCTTCTGTGCAAGATACCGAGTTGGAGGAGGGTTGAGGAAGATGGAGGGAAAGTCGGCGCAGGGGAGAGTCGCGGAATGTTTGGGTTGCGGGGGAGGATCGACCGATCAGGTTTGGCCGGTCGGCGTTTGACTTGAGCCGATGGTGGGGAATCTCACTGCTGGTGACTTTGGTAGGCCAGGAACTGAGTTAGCCACAGTTTACCCCGTGGGGGATCGATGGGTAAAAGTGGAAATAGTAGACGAAGGTGGATAGAGGGAGCTGGGGAAGTAAAGAATACTTTCATGAAGAGATGATGGAGAAAGAGGAAAGGTAAGGAAAAGAGGGGGAGAGAGAGAGAGAGAGAGAGAGAGCAGCTGCCCGCTCTGGCGGTGGGCAGCAGAGATGAGGAAGCAGCAGCAGCAGCAGCAGCAGCCCAACGACCGCACCAAAACACCAACACCGCTCAAAGTCACCCTCATCATCACGGGATCGAATGGTTTGTCAGGCAGGCAGGCAGGCAGGCAGGCAGGCAGGCAGGCAGGCAGGCAGGCACTTACAGCACAGCGTATCCCAAAATGTCTCTCTCCCTCAACCCCATCCGGCTATCGTCAGCTCTCCGTCTCTACCCATTTCCGTTGCCGACTATCTCATCCCCCCCCCCCCCCCCCCCCCCCCCCCCCCCCCCCCCCCCCCCCCCCCCCCCCCCCCCCCCCCAATATCCCCGGTCATTCGCAACCCCCCCGATTGGGGCAACTCTAGCCAGCGCGTGATTGGAAGATGCAGTCATCATTTTTACTTTCTTTCTCGTGCGTTGAGAGATGCACCTGTCATCTCCACGGCTGAAGAAGTGATGACACGGTCACCCTCCCTACCCGTGACCCATAGATATTGACCAGGTCGGAGGTATCAGACTGACCAGCCTGCAGTCTGAGAAGGGAAGGGGGGCTAAACAACTCTGTTTGCTCATACAACCCCCACGGAACTTCCCCGACCTGGACTGAAGCCAAGTCTGATTCCGTTTGCATGCCCGGATTCGGCTGATGGACTCCCATGCTGTTACAATGACGACGGCACGTGCTGCATTGCGATGACAAGCACACACAATCAAGGAAGATCGCACAATCTTGACTACAGGTGCTAGCGGGTGGTCTGATTCAATTCTCAGATTCTTTTCTGTTCTGTTGTTGAGACAAAGAGTCTGATATCTGATAAGACACCAACCTGGCAATTCGATCTTGTTCCATTCCCAGTCCGCTCTCTTCGATGGGATTCGCCGCTTGGCCGCTTGGCTTCGAAGGGAGAGATGCTCTATCCCCGGCCCACCTGCATCCCCCCCTCTTCTATTCGACAATCCACCCTGCAGATCACCGCATTTAGGGTTATTTTCTTCTCCTCTCTTCTGCCTCATGGCGTTGGAACCATCCGGGGCCAACAATCTGGGCCTGGGCGAATCAGGTCGTACCGGTCCGCCCGCCGTTACCCAAGGCTTTTGGCTGCCTCCGACTGGTTCCAAGCTTCAACAAGATTCACTGCCCCCGGATTCTGTATGACTATAAGTAACACTGTAACCTCTCTCTGCAGACATGTAGACTGTAGACCTCTCTCGTAACATCGATCATCTGCATCAGATTTTTTTGCTTTTCCTCTCTCCGTCCCACTCGGGATCACTCCCCAAGCACTTCTCTCCTCCTTCTTCCCCCTTTGTTTATCCTTCACATCTGTGGCAATGGCCACCAAATCTGATCCGCCCACAAAAGACCTCATTGCAGATGGTCGGTCCTCCATCCAAGGGGTCTCCCACCATGCCGAAGATATCGTCGACGGCCGGGAGCCTTACGGCCCCCCCGGGATCCGGGGTCTCATCGCCAATCCCTTTGTGCTCCTGTGTGCCGGATGCTCAACCCTGGGAGGTCTGCTCTTCGGGTATGACCAGGGTGTGGTCTCCGTGATCCTAGTCATGGAGCAATTCCTGAAGCGCTTCCCCGAGGTAGCGGAGGGACACTCCGGCTCCGGGTTCTGGAAAGGATTGATGACCGCAATGATTGAGTTGGGAGCCCTCATTGGCGCATTGAACCAGGGTTGGATCGCGGATAAGATTTCGCGACGCTACTCCATCATCGTGGCAGTGATCATCTTCTTGATCGGTTCTATCCTGCAGACGGCGGCGATGGACTATGCCATGCTGACAGTTGCCCGGTTTATTGGTGGTCTGGGGATCGGCATGTTGTCCATGGTGGCCCCATTGTACATCTCGGAGATTAGTATGTATCCACTATTGGAGGCGGACTGGCCTTCTCGATGCTAATGTTTGTTGCTGCACATAGGCCCTCCCGAGTGTCGCGGTACCCTCTTAGTGCTGGAGGAGTTCTTCATTGTGCTGGGAATTGTCATCGCGTACTGGATCACCTATGGCACGCGATACATGGCCGGCGAATGGGCCTGGCGCCTGCCGTTCCTGCTTCAGATGGCCCCTGCTATTATCTTGGTGGCTGGTGTCATTGTCTTGCCTTTCTCGCCGCGGTGGCTGGCCTCCAAGGGAAGAGAGGAGGAAGCCCTACAGAGTCTGTCGCGACTGCGGCAACTGCCTGCGACGGACAAGCGTGTGCGCCAGGAGTTTATGGATATCAAGGCCGAAGTACGATTTCACCAGGAGATCAACGCGCAGAAGCATCCCAATCTCCAGGGTGGCGGACTCAAGAGCTCGCTGCTGTTGGAGATGGCCGGCTGGGCGGACTGTTTCAAGAGCGGGTGTTGGCGGCGAACCCATGTGGGTGTCATGCTCATGTTCTTCCAGCAGGTATGCTTCGATCTCCTGTATCCACCCCTATGCCTACTATTTCAATTTCCAGGGCTAACATGATGATAGTTCGTTGGAATCAATGCCCTCATCTACTACTCTCCGACCCTATTCGAGACCATGGGTCTCGACTACGACATGCAACTTCTCATGTCCGGAATCCTCAACGTCCTGCAGCTGGTCGGTGTGGCCACGACAATCTGGACGATGGACAGCATTGGCCGTCGCCCGTTGCTTCTCTGGGGCGCCGCCATCATGGCTCTCTGCCACATCATCATCTCCGTCCTGGTCGGCCTTTACTCGGACAACTGGCCTGCTCACCGGGGCCCCGGCTGGGCCAGTGTAGCTCTTCTTTTCGTGTACATGATTGCCTTTGGGGGATCAATTGGTCCTGTTGGCTGGGCTATGCCGTCCGGTAAGCAGAAACCCCCATGACTTGACACGCACAAGAACAAGGATACTAACAACAACCCACAGAAATCTTCCCCTCTTCGCTCCGCGCCAAGGGAGTGGCCCTCTCCACCTGCTCCAACTGGCTCAATAACTTCATTATCGTAAGTGAAGCAGCTCGATTGGTGATTCACCTCCATTAACGTATCCCGACAGGGCCTGATCACTCCACCCCTCATCCAAGACACCGGCTACGGTGCCTACGTCTTCTTCGCCGTCTTCTGTGTCCTCACCTTCCTGTGGACCTTTTTCTTCGTGCCCGAGACGAAAGGGCGCACCCTCGAGCAGATGGACCACATCTTCAAGGACAATTCCAGCGAGGCCGATCGGGACCTTCGACGGGCGGTCGAGGCTCGGATACTGCAGGAGGAGGAGGAGGCGGAGGAGACCCAAGGCGCTTCTGTTTGAGCAGATCTGGCAGTCTAGCCCTCTGTCCTCGTCTCATCAGGGATGTGGTAGGGTGCAAATTACCTGCGGTGTCACGTCCACTGGTGGATTGATGCGCTGCAGCTTCAATTCTTCATACATAGCATTGATTAGGTAGTACCAGGGTTATGAATCACGATTTCCAATTTTCACGATTGTGTCATGTGTGCTTATAATGTAGACTGTAGACTGGTTGTCTTGTCGAGTGTCCCCTGCGCCCGAAATGATACCACATGAGTATAACCAAATATCCTGGATCTGAATTATGCTTGCTGCTTCGTGGGTAGGACAAAGACCATAATGCGCTGCATGCAGTGTAACCGCCGATCAGCCCTGCATTATGCGGGGGGGGGGGAAGAGGGAGAGACAACCACAAAAGGTCGCCTTGTCCCCGTCCACTCCCCGCGACTTGCCAACTTCGCTCACTCACACCCATTCAAGGAGGGCATTATCATCCAACATGTGGTCCAAGCACTTACTTCTACTGAAAGCCATCCTCGACACAGCCCTTGCGACTTCAAATACCGAAACGTTCGATGCGATTTCCCTCGCTGAATTCATCGAAAAAGAAACCCCAATCGCCTGGCAGGGAATCCTCAATAACATCGGAGCGGATGGAGCACTGGCCCAGGGCGCCTATCCGGGCATTGTGGTCGCCTCGCCCTCCAAATCCGACCCCGATTGTACACCTGATTCCAAGTCCATTGCACACATATGAACAAGCTAACGACTCTTGGCAGATTTCTACACCTGGACCCGAGATGCGGGGCTGACCATCCCCGCCATCACCGGCCATCTGACCGACCTGACCGACGACGGAGACAAGACCTCCATCGAGCGCATCCTCCAGCATTTCGTCACCTCGCAAGCCACCCAGCAAACCATCTCCAACCCGTCCGGCTCCCTGGCCGACGGCGCCGGCCTGGGCGAGCCCAAATTCCACGTGAACATGACCGAGTTCACGGAAGCGTGGGGGCGGCCGCAGCGCGACGGGCCCCCGCTGCGCGCCTCCGCCCTCATCGCCTACGGGAACCACCTCGTCGCCCACGGCCAGACCGCCCTCGCGCGAGCCAACGTCTGGCCCATCGTCCGCAACGACCTGGCCTACGTGGCCGAGTACTGGAACGAGACCACCTTCGACCTCTGGGAGGAGGTCCGGGGGTCCTCGTTCTTCACCACCGCCGTCCAGCACAAGGCGCTCGTCGAGGGCCAGGCGTTCGCCGAGGCGGTGGGCGAGCCGTGCGCCGGCTGCGCCGCGGTCGCGCCGCAGATCCTGTGCCATCTCCAGCAGTATTGGGACGGCGCCGCGGCGGCGGCGGTCATTTCCAATATCCCCACGAGCGGGCGCTCGGGGCTCGATGCGAATTCGATCCTTGCTGCCGTCCACACCTTCGATCCGGAGGCTTCATGTGGTGCTGAAAGTGGCGGCGGTACCTTCCAGCCGTGCTCCGCCCGCGCGCTGTCGAATCATAAGCATGTGGTGGACTCGTTCCGGTCGCTTTACAAGGTGAACCAGGGCCGTGGCGCTGGCACGGCGGCGGCAGTGGGGCGCTACGCTGAGGATATCTATCAGGGGGGCCATCCATGGTGTGTGTGTGTGTCGTGCTGAGTCTTTCCCCGTCCTATCATTAATGAGGAACTAGGTACCTCACGACCCTTGCCGCGGCCGAGCAATTGTACGATGCCTTGTACCAGTGGGACCGACAAGGCGTCATCGAGGTGACGGCAGTGTCTGCGCCTTTCTTCGCGGATCTCATCCGCGACATTGTCCCGGAGTCCTACCCACGCGCCTCGGATGAGTACGCGGCCATCAGCGATGCCGTGAGGCGGTATGCGGACGGCTTTGTCGCGGTGGTCCAGCAGTATACCCCGGCGGATGGCGGGTTGGCGGAGCAGTTCGACCGCACCACGGGGCAGCCGGTCTCGGCGGTCGATCTGACGTGGTCGTTTGCCGCGTTCCTGACGGCGACGGCGAGACGCAGCGGTGCCGTGCCTCCGTCGTGGGGCGCGTCCGCGGCAGAGCCGGCCCCGGCGACGTGTAGCGCGACGAGCGTCCGGGGCCAGTATGCTACGCCGGCCGTGGGGTCATGGCGGGTGCAGGTGCACGACGAGCTGAAGTGATTGGTCTGGCCTCACCACGCGGCAATTTAGATGCTTGCGGGAGCTTGAGCAGCCGTGATATGTGTACCTGATTGAAATACACGAGTAGGACTTATGCCAGCCAGATCGTAGTATGTATTCGGCCGAATGTTCCCGGGGCATCGGTCTTCTCCGAGCCTATCCGCCCGAAAAACAACCACACACAACCGAGGTCATGGCTGACAATCTCTGCATAGCATAAATGTCAAGGGTCGGTTGAACAACGTACCGTACAGTTCTATGGCATTGTCTTCGCCACCCTTCCGGAAGCATGCACCGGGGAGGGGGGGGGGGGGCGGGGGGCAGCCTGGAGTATCTCATGAAATCATGACTTCTCCCATATTTCTGGCAGATTGCTCGAATGAGTCTAGCTTGCATCTGACAACCGTTCACATTGCACTTGTGTAGCATCTCATTGGAAGGCGGGATGCGAGCTGTGGTCAACCCATGGAACGCAGAGATGCTCCCGCATCCCCGATCCAAAGTATGAATATCGATCGAACCGTTGTGAACCGTTGACGATGGCGTCGGGGAGGGCTCGGGTCTACTCGGTCTGACTTTGTGGTCTAGACTCTTTCAGCTTCATATCACATCAAATTTGAGGCTACGAGGGTTCGATTGATATAGAGACAGACTGCCGGACACGCAACACACTCCGCTCTCTTGACCAAGTATGCACCATGCAAGTGCTGGCCTTTCTGGTCTCGTTCACCGGGCTAGCGACCATCACGGTGGTTCTGCGCTTGTGGACTCGGCAGCGTCTGCGGAGTGCGGGGTGGGATGATCTGCTGATTGTGGTGGCTTTGGTAAGTATAAGTATGGAATGAAGCTCAAGTGCTGTATACTTCCTTCAGGGGAACAATCACTGACTGACCACTAACTACTACAGGCCGCCAACCTCGTCCTCTTCTCCTGCAGAGTCGTAGGCAAGTCCCTCACCTCCCCCTGTCAACCGTCAACCGTCAACCCAAGAATCTCAACCTCACAATCAACACCCCCAACCCCAAGCTAACATCCCCCCAGAAATCCAACACGGCCTCGGCCACCCCGGCGAAACCCTCCCCCCCTCCGCCCTCCGAACCCAACTCAAAGTCCGTCCCAAGCATCCCCTCCCCCCATCACCCTTGTCCCTCATCACTAACAAAAACCAAAAAGGCACTATACCTCTCCCTGCCCTTCTACCACCTCACCCTCCTCGCCAGCAAACTCTCCGCCCTGGCCCTGTACACCCGGCTCTTCCGACTCCGCCGTGTCCTCCTCGCAAGCTACAGCCTCGCCGGCCTCATGTGCGTAGCCGGGACATGGATGGTCCTCAGCGCAATCCTCTTCTGCCTGCCCGTGCGCGACTTCTGGTCGGGCACCACCCCTCAGCCTCGATGCCTGCCGAAAAAAGCGGTGTGGCTGAGCAACGGCGCCATCCAGATCGCGACGCACGTGGTCGTGCTGGCCATCCCGCTGGTCGTGATCCCGAAGCTGACGCTGCGGCGAAGGGTGAAGGCGGGGTTGTTCCTGTTGTTCGGGCTGGGATTGGTGTATGCTTCCGTTCTCCTTTCCCTTTCCCTTGCGTTTGCGTTCTTGGGGACGGGTGGACTCGGTTACCTACCTTCGGGAAGTGCTGATACTGAGAATTTCGGAGGTAGGGTGGTCGTAATCAGCATCGTCCAGCTGATCACGGTGATTGAGATCTTGACGCGAGGCCGGGGGGATTTATCGCGTGCGTTGCATTACCCTGCCCTGCCCTGCCCTGCCTTGGTCTAACCAGCTCAACAACCACCAGACAAATCCCGCACCACCGCCCTCCTCGCCAGCGCCGAGGCCAGCGCCTCCATCCTCTGCGCCTGCATGCCCCCGCTCTACCCGCTCTTCAGCCGGGCATGTTCGCGGTGTCTGTCTCTCGTCAATGCGGGGGCCGGGGGGCAGGGGGCAGCGGCGCAACACTGCCCGAAGAGTACGGTGAGCATCCATCTGACGCGGCCGGTGATTGAGACCCCGGTGTTCTTCGATGGGTTCCGTGTCGGGGGTGGGAGTTATTCGGCTAGTGTTGAGGTTGTGGGTTCCGGGGAGCGGGAGCGGGAATTGGAGCGGGAATTGGAGCAGGGGGTTTCGGTGGTGAGGACTGTGGATGTTGTTTCTGATTCTGGGGAGGACTTGGCGGATCGGGGGGAGAAGGGACGGCATAAGGGGGGTGGACTGGGCGGATCGGGGGGTGAAGGGACACGGGCACAAGGGATGGGGAAGGTGGTGAGTTTTGAGGAGTAAATCGTGAAGGACGCCTGGACTGTGCAGTAACTTACTGTATATTTGTCTGGAGGATGTGGCGTGGGGATACCTTGGATTTAGAACTCTTACAAGTGTATATAGATTTAGATACCATGCTGAGAGTTCAGTTCAGTTGTCATCGGACGTTTTGTAGGAGATCATATTGAATATACTCGGCTCTGCACTGTTCATATATCCGGTCATTGCATCCGACTTCCTTACGGAGTCTGTGTGTACAGCATTGTAGTCTCCATCAATACATCTTGTCAGCGTAGGTGGCCTGTGTGAGCAGAATCCCTTCGACGCAAGAATCTCAATGACGAGCATGCTACTCAAACACCCACGTGTGAAAGGAGCCTCCTGGGCCCTGCGCACACCATCGATCCTGATTTCAGTCGCACAAGCTGAGACGAAACCCTCTCCACGAAAGCAGCTGCACGAATCGGAAGATCGATCTACCCTCCCCGGAATTACTGCCCGAGCATCCACCCCATCCAGCCAGACGATATCGGTCCCCCAAAGTCTGTCTCTCCGGGTTTACATGCGCCCGCACAAAGTGATCAGTCTGCCCTGCCGTCATCTACATTTTGCCGACTCACCGAAAGCCCCACAGCGAACCTCTCATCAACAGCATAATTCCCATCTTTGTCCGTGTACTGGAGGCCGGGACTGGAACTTGACTGTTCGAGATCCCCTCGGTAGTACAGACTCCCATACTGCGTAAAGCGAGCCTGGGACCAGCGCTGCTGGTAGGCGGCGACTTTCTCAAGCACCTTCAACTTAACCCGCACACCCAGTTTGTCCCACAGGCTACTCGGTGGCACGCCGCGTGCATTCTCCATGAGGATGTACTCCGCCGCCACCGGATTGTCGGCCGAAGAATACCACGAGAGAACTTTGGGAACTGGCGTACCGAGGACGCTGCGCATCTATCCGATGTTACCAACTTTCGTGAACTTCCACGACAAAGAAGGGAGGATATGGCCTACGAAGTCCATAGTCGCGACTTCCGAGGCAGTGGTTAAGCGCGGAAGCCCAGCATTCGGAGTCAGAACTTTACCCACAGCTTGGAACCCATTGTCCATGGTGAAGCGTATAGCCTTGCTGTGCATCCCGTCGGCCAGTCTTTCAATGGCGATACACGTCCGCGGCCCATCACTTGCAGCCTCGGCGGCCTGGACGGCTAAGCGGGCGAGTCCATCCACGTTGAAACGGATGTGTCTCTTGGCCAGTTCATTGGCTTCGTCGGTAAGGAATCGGCCGCGGGTGAACCGAAAAAGGGTTTCATCGTGTGCTGCTGCTGTACGCTTGTATGGTGATGGGGGTGCAGTTGTCGTAAGCTGCCGCCGGACTTGGGCGGCCATCATCAGTCGGGCGGCGGGGCGGTACCGGATTCGAACAAGTAGAGTGGACGAGCGAGCAGGGTGTGAGCTGAGCGCAAACTTGCGAGCCGGCGAGTTATGCATACATACTGGAGCATCTCCAGTCCGCCAGCGACAGCCACATGAAGAACAGCCGCTGGATCGAATGCAGAGACTGGGGGATGGGGATGGGGATGGGAATGGGGATAGTTGACAAGTTTGGGGAACCTCCGGGGAAGGAGGAGCGAAGGAGAACTGTAAAACCCTTTGGAGCTCCCGCCGATGATTACAGCCCAGCCGTGCAGCTTAGCTTCACTCGCATAAACTATCCGTATCACACCAGACCCATCCTCCATTTGCTACTCACTGCGTTGTACATTGTACAGTACTATGTACAAACAGATCTACAGTACTGTACAACAATGCATCCATGATAGCTGGCTGATAGCTGGCTGATAGCTGGCTGATAGCTGGGGCTCTTACCCGCGCACAGAAGTACAGTACATACTACATGTACATAGTAGAACTAAACCCCCCACCTATACCCGTCCCTCCCTCCCTTAATTCCCATTCCCCCCCCCCACTGTGACCATGCTTAAATTGCCCTTCCTCCCTCCGAACGAGGCGACAAAACGGGCGGCTCTGTTTGAACTCCGAACCAGGAACCAGATCGGGGAAGATCAACGACCGACCAGCCAGTTTTGAACCTGCATCTGCATCACCGTACATATAGTACTGTACCTAGTAAACAATCATCGCCTCTTCCCGACCGGGTATAGTTACCCAAGCTTTTTTCCTCTTGCATTTTTCCGATAGATCTAATTTACTTGAGTAACACCCACTGATGTTACATAATTACCACATCAAATACATCAGTAGGTTTGGGTTAATTATAGATAGCCTGGCTAAAATATCTAGTGCTGTGCCCCCCGGGGATGGAAAGCCGGGAGGTGCAGCAAGGCTTGGACCATGTTTGTCTGGTCGAGACACCAAAAAAATCAGTTGGCTAGTACTAAGTTAGGTAAACTAGCTAGCTAATCAGCCAGCGACTGCATCATGCCTTCGTTAATCCTGAACAATCGATTGTCACTGGATCAAATTAATCCAAAGTGGCTGACAGACAGCCCATCTGGCACATGGCCACATGCCGGCTATTGACACTAACCTGTGCTTGGCGGCTGGCGCTCCTCAGTCCCTCCCCTGAGTGGGGTTGGCGTCCCACGCGTGGCGTCCGCACAAATGGGAACGAAAAAAAAAAAGGGATTAGCGCCGGATTCACTGATAGGACTGGTCGTATAGGGAATTTTGGAATGATTGCCAGGCAGGCAATAACACGCGCTTAGACGAAGATGGCGAGGGGAGCTCGTTATGGTGGCGGATAGGCTCGTCGAAGTTTTATTGGTTTTGGCTCAGCCTGAGCGCTCAATCCTGGCGCCTAGTTGGATAGATAGCGGTGGAGAAAACAGACCGAAAGGAAAACTAGAGTATCGAGGCAGCTGTCCAGTGGCTTTGGAGATTAGATGGATTTCGAATTTCCGAACAGCTCGGAACCGATAGCTCTCTCAAGGACAGCGGGAATGAGAGAAACATTCTAAATCAGGGACCCGGGATGGAAAGTTTAAACCCCCACGAGGGCAACAAGGAGGTTGGCCTTTAATTTCACCCAACCCAGAAAGCAGCAGGGCAACATCATGCCATGGTTGGTGATGACAGTTCATGGTGATGATGATATTGTTGTTGTTGTTGCTGCTGTTGATGATGACCTGCTTACCTCCCAACCCGAACATCCCAGCTGAAGCCAACCAAACCCCCTACTCCCCCCCCCCCCCCTCCACCCCCCTCCACCCCCCTTGTAACCCTACTAGTACATACTACATACGTGATAGTACTGTACACTACCCAGGGGGTACAACCATGTGGCATGACGGCTACTACCCACCACGACGGCACTCATTTCGGCCGCATGCGGCATCCTAGGCAGGATCATTAAAAGTGCCACAGCACGTGGAGAATGGGCTTTAAGGTCGATCGACAGACAGATCCCGGACTAGTCGCGCCGTCGAGTAGCATTCTAGTCGGGTGTCGCGCAGGTTCGTTCTTTGTGCCGTCGGAGAGTCTGTAACGGTACCACTAGGTACCCAATCCTCCGTGAACCCTCAAACCCTGTTGTTGGTTGGCTCTTGGGCCTCTTGGGCCTCTTGGACCTTGCGGGCGTGCCAGCAAGAGACGGGGAGAGGAGCGACTCAAGACAAGCGCGTGCACCAGCCGAGACGCCTTGGTGCCTAAGGATTGCCGAAGCGCTGGACTGTGCACAGCGACGCACCACCCACCACGAGGCAATCAGACACGGTGGAAACTGGAAACGTGGAAACGCCTGTCCAAGATGCACAGCGCTTCGGATGGATGCCGCCGAGAAACGGCCCCATTCAGTTCCTTCCAAAGTCAATGTTTCTCGGTCAAATTGTAAAGTCACAAGTGCCAACCAGACCACACCAAACCACACGACAAACACCCGACATTCAGACAACATCATTGGCATGACCTCTAGTTGGTGGAGTTTAGCTCAGTCGTAACTAGGCGCTCTTCGTAAACGAAAAGGGGTACGTATAGGTAGAAACGGACAAAATTGGTCGCAACAATCAAGATCAGTCAATCCTCCTCATCCTCCTCAGCCTGATTGTCAATCACCGCCCCGTGACATGTCGCTCTGGAACGGCACGATAGAGGGGCCATTTAATTTGGGGATGTCTCTCAATTCCGTACTTCGCGCTCGCTAAGCGTCTATCTCGTCTCAGCTATTCAACACTTCGGCCCAAATGCGGGCGGAAGGGTGGATCGCAGGCAGTGCAAGGGGTGCGAAGAGAGATTATTATTATTATTGTCATCGTCATTTGAATTAATTGTTGAAGAGAGGGGGAGGGGACGTTGGTTCCGATTGGAATACGAGGATGGTGGGTAATTTAGGAAGTTAGGTGTGGTTCCAGTTCTTCGCCTCGATTACGGACCGTCCTGTCCTCGCCGGGCCTGTTGACAGCAGGCGTGTTTTGGAGGTTCTTGATCCTGGCCGATCATTGCCGTGGCGGTCAACAACCTCCCACACAATCACAAATCACGGGATCGGACCATCGGGCCCTTGCCATGCTCCGGAGATGGTATCATTTCCTGATTGGTAATGGTGGATGCGATCATAATGGATCATTTCCATCTTCAATCATCTTCTTTCATCTGTTCTCCGGGCTGCTCCCCTCCCCACCCGTCGGCGGCTCTGACCGTCCGTCCGTAGTCGCTCGCCTGAGGCGTTCCCAATCTGGTCAATTAGACTACCTACTACCTGCCTTACCTCACCACCTATACTCCGAACTCCGTACTGGGTATACTTTGCGAGCACTTTTGGCGAAATAGTACGAAGTCCGTACTGCGGTCACTGTCCAAGGCAGAACGATGTCATAATATATGAATCCGGGAATCCTTCGGATGTGACAGCTCCGCCAAAGGAACACCAGGCTTTTTCTCCGCCTCAGGCGTCATCGTAGAGAGGGGAGAAGAAAGTGATGCGGAAGCGAAAGCCTCCAACGGTTGCGAGATCACCCCCTCGTGGACAAAGTGCAGGGTATGCGAGCCTGCGAGGCCCATGTGTCGTCACTTGTCGTGGAATCGGACGATCCTCCACGCGCGACAGCTTTCGGTCAGCATTGGGGAATTCTAGAAGTACACGAGTACTGCATGGATGTATCTTAGCGGACAGGCTAGAGCAGAGCTTGAAGCAGAGTCCGAGCAATAATACGCACATACTCCGTACGATGCGCGATGAAACTACTAAGTAGCTGCTGTAGCTGCTGCCTTAGCCTGTCAGCGCCGTACAGTACAGTATCTTTCCGACAACCGTGTCGAAAATCACCGAAAAGTGGACTTCTGGTCTGGCGTGCGGACTATGCGTATTGGGCTAGAAGGAAGGTGGGGGGGGGAAGAGCCTTGTCATGATGTGATGTCTTCAAGCTCAAGAACAATCCAGAAAAAAGGACCAAGAAGACCCTTGGTTGGAAAATCCATGCTAAATCAATCGATTGATGAAGGGAGAAAAAGAAACGACCGAACGAAACCCCAAGGGCGGTCCCAAATCTGGCAAGAGTCGAGTTCCGTAGCGTGGCTGGCGGCCGCTAATGTCGTGGGGGCCAAAAACCGGCCGAAGCAGTAAGAAATGGAAAAAGAAAAAATTTTCTTAAAAAAAAAGGGAATGGAAGAAAAAGTAAAGTGAGAAGGAAGAAAAGAAGGAAAGAAAGAGTGCTGAGTCTGAGGTCTGAGGCAACCAAACCGAGGACTGCACTACTCACTACCAGTACAATAACATTGATCAATAAGTGATCGATAGATGAAGTGTTTCCGTGGGTGATGTGAGCATAGTGAGCGGGGACAACTCTATTATACTTCTAGTATAGCTTTTGGATTCATGGGAAGGTACGGAGTACGGAGTACACTCGTACAACAAGCCCTGAGGCAAGCAGGCACAAGTCGATGAAACATTGATCGATCGAAGGAGCCAATTGACTACCGGCCGGATTAAGTCGAGGTATGGATCCCCCTTGCGGTTGTTCATCTGTCCTGAGTCCTGACTCCTGGGCTATCCAGTCGGCCTAAACCCCCATCCATGCATAGCCCGACCCCCGGAAAGGATGGATTTTAACCGCTCATTGCTTATCGCCATGTGGTTTTTTGGATCTAACCAGGGCCATGCCATGCCTTTTTGTGTTATCATGACGATCGCGCGTGCTCCACGTTGGAAATGTCAGGCGGCGTTATCGTTCGCTGCTTGCGAAAAACCCACTCACCAGCGGTGGGTGACTACTGACTAGCCTTGTAGACTCTACCTAGTCTCCGTACCTGCCCTTGGGATGCCCCAGTTTGACGCTGCAAAGCCCCACCTGGGATGGCCAAATCGGGGAATTGGGTTATCCTGCTGAGCGGTTCCGGCCCCCAAAAACCCATTCGGATTGCAAAACGAAGCGTTGTTAGACAATTGGAACCTTCACCCAATTGCCCCTCTTCCTTCACTGCCAGACTACTAGTTACTAACCATCTGCATACGGACTGCACTAAGGAAAGTACTAGGTAGGTACAGTACTACGGTAGGTACAGTACTACGGTAGGTACAGTACTACGGTAGGTACGGTACTGCGTAGATACTTCTCTGCTTCGTACTCATTTCTCACCATCCCCTTGGGCCCCTTTCCCAACAACACTATGGAGGATGTAATAACTTAATCATGTTCTATCATTTGCTACATTTCTAGAAGCCGGTGAGACGGCACATCACAGGAAAGCAACCCTTGTTAGCGGGAATGTCAAACAATCTATTTTCCCAAGGGGGCTGCGTCGGTATCGCGATTGATATTCGATCCTGCCAATTTCTTCCCTAGTGCGATTCGATATTGGCTCGAAGGGTTGAAGAGCTAGCTCCAGCCGGACTGTTCACTACTGTGTATAGACTACTATAGTTACTAGGAGCTTGTTTCTAGACGTTCGAGGAGGCTCCCAGGCCAGACTCCCGCGGCCTGGGAGATTTCCCCGAGCATCGACTACCCCTGTCCGAGCTCCA